TTTCCCTTGGTGCATTGGAGGCTGAGGGGTGACCTTAGAGGTTTATAAAATCATGAGGGGCATGGATAGGGTGAATAGCCAAGGTCTTTATCCTGGGATGGGGGGAGTCCAAAACAAGAGGACATAGGTTTAAGACAAGAGAAGAAAGATTTAAAAGGGACCTAAAAGAGGCAATTTTTTCATGCAGAGGGTGGTGCATGTATGGAATGAGCTGCCAGAGGAAGTGGAGGAGGCTGATAGAATTACTATATTCAAAAGGCATCTCAATGGGTATATGAATAGGCAGGGTTTAGAGGGATATGGGTTAAATGCTGGCAAACGGGACTAGATTAATTTAGGGTATCTGGTCAGCATGGTCAAGTTGAACTGAAGGGTCTGTTTCCGTGCTATACAACTCTAATGACTGTATGAAAACTGCGTGCTGATTAAGGATGACCAAAGTGTCTTCTCCATACTGCTGAATCATGCATCCAAAATGAATCCAAAGAATAGTGCAACTAGCATCTGTGCAAATGCACTTTGCTGACATATTGAGATTATACAAGTACAAATGAAAAATCCCAGGAATTCTAAAATACAAGGAGTCTGCAAAAGGATATGTAAAGTGTCCTCAGAGTTGTATTCTTGCAAAATCAAAACTTCATGTGAAAAGACTAAGTGAAGCATTGATTGCCATAGGAATCAATGTTAAAATTGGAGTTATCTTTCACAGGGTCTTCCTTAGCAGAGAAGAAAATTAAGAATTTACACCAGTCCCCTCCAAGGTGAAATACTGTACCAACTGCTCTTTAAATGGATAATTTATACATTAGTAAATAAAGATTAAATAAAAAAAGGTAACAATGTACAATACTGATTGATTGACCAGGTTCCACCTAGTGGCTGAAATAAAACCAGAAAATGCTAGAGAACTCAGCAGATCTGGCGTGAAAGAGTTAATATTTCAGGTCTAAAGACTTTTCTTTGGAATGGAAGACACCAAAACAGGTCACAAAGAATAATCAACACCAAGACAAAAAGAAGATTAAGTCAACCTTGAATGAGGACTACTTGTCCATAGGTTAAGCAATTGAGAAAACAAAATTTGGTAGGTAGGGTATAATGGGGTAAACTTGTGATTAGGAAAGCAAACTGAATATTGTCATTTATTGCAAGGAGAAGAGAATATAGAAGCAGGGATGTTCTGCCACAATTGTTAAAAGACCACATCTAGAATGCTGTATATGATTTTGGCTTTCTTACATGGCATTTTATTAGCATTAGCAGTTCAGAGAAAGTTTGTTAGACTGATTTCTGGTTTGAGAGCATCTTACAAGCAAAAGTCAGGTTAGGCCTGAATTGAAAGTAGTTTAGGAGAATGAGGTTAGCTTATTGAAGCATAAAAGATCTTGAGGTAACATGATAGATTGGATGCTCAAAGGGGGTTTCTCTTCTGTAGGAGAGTCTAAAATTAAGGGATACTTGAAGGGTAAAGGGTCTTCTAACTAAGATAGAGATGGGGAGAATTATTTTATCACAGAGGATTGACAATCTGTGAAACTCTCCTCAGAAAAGGGTGGCAGCACAGTGAATATTTCTATTAGGGGAAAAAAAATGATAATGGAATCAAAAGATATTGGGACAGGCAAGAAAGTGAGATTGAAACTACAATCACACAGATTAGACTGAAGGGCCCAAATGGCCTAATCCTGCCTCTTGATGGATCATAATTGGGAAAGTACAATCTGTTTAATTAGTGGTCAGACACACAAGCATTTGGAAAGATTGACTCCTTACTCAAGTCTGTGATTATCAGAGCTTACTTTCAGTACAGAAACATTTGCCCAATTTGAGGGCCTTTAGACAAGCTCTTTAAAAAAAGAAATTGGCCCAGAAGGACAGAGATGAAGTGAGGCGAGGCACACTTCAACATCCTGATTTTAGCCTAACAGCTTGCCACAGGTTCAAATGCAGTCGCGTCATTAATGGCGATAAATGTCTCAGCATTTGTTCCCACTGAGAAAGGAAATCCGGTTCAATAATTATACTTAAATGATTCAACAGAAAATATTAATAGATCTGAACTCGCTACAGTAAGCTTTTTTGGACATAGAACCCATCCTATGAAGAGCATCCCACTCAGACCTCCACTGCCACCCTATCCCTCCATTTCCCACAGCTAATCCATCTAGCCTGCACATCCCTGGACACTATGGGCAACTTAGCATAGTCAATCTACCTTACCTGCACATCTTTGCACTCTGGAAGGAAACCCGTGCAGACACGGGGAGAATGTGCAAACTCCATGCAGACAGTCACCCAACAGTAGAATCAAACCCAGGTCCCTGGCATTGTGAGGAAGTGCTAACCACTGAGCCACCGTATCATCCACACATCCATGTGTGGTATTAACATACACAGATTCAAAGCCAGCTAAGTATAGAGGTTTCAGATATCTTGGTGCAAAGCTGCAAAAGTTGGATTTCTAGAAGAACAGCAACAATTTCTAAAGTTTAAATAAATTCCATCCAGGCAGTTTCTCATAGGAAAAGCTCAACATTTAGGCAAATCACACGACCCTATACGACACTAAAAGCCAATCACATTCTCACTACATCCTATTAACACCCATTAGAATTTCTCTCTCTTTTGGCAAACAATGTACAGTACAAAGATCTTGCAAACACATCTATTTAAAGTCACTTAAATTAGATCGTCAGGATAATTTGAATATGCTTAACTGTATTCTAGTTCCTTACTTTGAATTACTGAAGAAAAACAAATGGATTAAAAGGAAATTGTTCTTTATTTATTGCAACACAGGATTGCAGTAAAGATTAACCAGAAAGTGGAAAGAAGATCAAAGACCTTTTTAACGTCTGGGCACCCTGATACCAGAAATTTTCTTTATACCATTATTCATTTCAACCCTATGTCAACTATATTTTAACAAGTAAAACACCTCACTGAGAAGACCACAATCATTTTTCACCTCAATCAGAACCAAACACTTCCAGGTCAGGTATAGATCTCAGTCACACTGTAAAGCATTCCTTAATTTAAGAATGCACAAACAAAAGCATTGCATACTGAACCACTGCAACACAATCCGAACTTCATTAGCGTTTAGAAGAATGAGGGGGGAGTCTCAAAGAAACCCACAAAATTCACGCAGCACTAGATAGGTAAACTCTATTAACAAAAGATTTTTTCCAATGTTTGGGGAGCCCTGAACCAGGAGTCATGTCTAAAGATAGGGCAGGCCATTTTGGGCTGAGATGAGGAGAAATTTCTTCACCCAGAGTATGCTAAGCCTATGGAATTCGCTACTTCAGAAAGCAGTTGATATCAAAACATTATAGATAACAAGGTGTAGAGCTGGATGAACACA